CTCAGCCAGTCCAAATCTCTCTCTTCTTGGAGTTTCCTCTGTTCATCTCTCTTTGCGCTGAGAACAGGGAGAGGAGATCATTAGTATGTTATATAATAGAGCTGCCTGCTGCTGCTGCTGGGTATAGTGAGGGAGAGGCAACTACCCAGAAACCCATGTTCGTGGGAGGCCAGAATAATAGATACCTATTTTTATGAAGCTTGCTCACTTTAACAAAGTGCTGTGAGAAATAAAAAGGAAGCTAACACTCCTTGCCGCCTTTCTGTGGTGAAAAACTGAATTTCCCCAATCTTCAGGCATAAGCAACCCCACCCCACTCAGCATCCCCTTCTATACCTACTGCCCTCTCCAAATACACACAAGATACACATAAGCATTTACACACTCCATTACCTACAGTCGCTCCATTCACACTGTGATGCCTATAACTTCTACCTCCCCCTTCAACTTTGGGAGCTGGAAAGGTACACATTAATTGCTGGGCTGGGGGAAGGGCAAGTGTGTGAGAGATACAGAATTAATTAATTAGGCTGTGTCTACATTGGGGTGACCTTGTGCAAAAGCGGCCACTTTTCCGCCAAAACTTGCTGCCTGTCTACACTGGCCGCAAGTTCTTGTGCAAGAACACTCACATTCTAATGTATGAAATCAGGGCTTCTTGCGCAAGAACTATGATGCTCCCGCTCAGGAATAAGCCCTTTTGTGCAACTGTTCTTGTGCAAGAGGCCAGTGTAGACTGGCAACGTGAATTTCTTGCGCAACAAAGCCCTATGGTTAAAATGGCCATCCCAGCTTTCTTGCGCAAGAGAGCATCTACACTGGCATAGATGCTCTTGTGCAAAAGCACATCTCTTGAGCAAAGGCACATGCCCATGTAGACGCTCTCTTCTGGCAGAGTTTTTGCACAAGAACTCTTCCGCAAAAGAGTTCTTGCGCAAAATCATGCCAGTGTAGAAGTAGCTTTAGGGTTTTGGAAGAAGCTAGAAGCTCCACATCATCAGATGAGAGTTCCTGAAACAGGGGCTAGACAACTGCCTCTCTAAACAGAGGACAAAGCCACACAGGTTGTGGAGGTGAACAGGGTGCGATCAAAGATAAAAAACAAAAACAAAACACATCTCATTCTTCTCATGGTCTGACTCAGGAGCTTTGCACCTTTGGGGTTGGTGATCCCATAATGCTGTGCTGTAATGGGTTCTTTAGCATAGGAGAATATATAGTAAGGCAGTGACAGTGGTTGATAGGGGAACCCAGATCCCTCTGTTCCACCAGGCTCCAGCTCAGAGCCCTTTGAGGGCTATCAGTGAATTGACAAGTAGGGGCAGGTAAGGCTGTCTTCCCTGGGCCACTTCCTACCACCTCGTTGGAGCTGTCCCAATCTGAGGTATGAGGTGAATGGAGTCCAGTCACTACAAGAGGCCTTCCAGCAACTGGGCAACATGGGAGCTTCCTTTCTGTTGGGACAGCAGCTACTTCCTCCTGTGATGTGGTGTGGTCCTCCCTTCTGGGCCAGATCAAGCTTAGCATTTTCTCCTACCGCAGTGGTCCAAACAAAACAAGGGGAATTAACACAACCCAGAATTCATATGACAGGGAGCAGTGGGGTAGCACACTCTGTAGCAGCCTCCCTTCTCTCAGAAAAGGGCCTTTGAGCAGGGGTTAGGGGGGGAAATTCTGCCTTTCCTTTAGCTCTCCATTGCTGGAGTTGCAGATCTACTTTCTTCTCTAGTCTTCCACCAAGAGGGCTGTTCTTCTGCCTTTTAACTTCTCCTCCAGCTGGTACATTTTCTACAGGTGCAGCAAAGCAGAGCTACCTGTGTCCAGGGTAATACCTTAATACTTTATTGCCCATTGTGGGGTTTGTACACCCCATCACATTTTCTTTCATAGTTCTTTGTCCCATTCTCCTCATCCCATTCTCTTACATCTCCCCTTTTTTCTGCAGTCTCTTCCCTTTGGGTCCTATTCCTCATGCTTCTCTCTTCTGACCTCCCTTCCCTAATATCCCACCTCTTCTGAGCTTCTCTCTCCTTGCAATTCCTCCCAATCACTTCTGCCTTCAACTCTTCCTTCCTGCTTCCCCTGGACATCTCCTCTTTAGCCACACCCACAGCAGTTTTGCTCACTCTGCGCCCCCTCCCCCACTGCTCTCTGAGGGTATGTCTACACTACAAAGTTAATTCGAACTAGGACATCTCCTCTTTAGCCACACCCACAGCAGTTTTGCTCACTCTGCGCCCCCTCCCCCACTGCTCTCTGAGGGTATGTCTACACTACAAAGTTAATTCGAACTAACAGCCGTTAGTTCGAATTAACTTTAATAGGGGCTACACAGGCAAACCGCTAGTTCGAACTTAATTCAAATTAGCAGAGCGCTTAATTCGAACTAGGTAAACCTCATTCTACGAGGACTAATGCCTAGTTCGAATTAAGTAGTTCGAATTAAGGGCTGTGTAGCCACTTAATTTGAACTAGTGGGAGGCTAGCCCTCCCCAGCTTTCCCTGGTGGCCACTCAGGGCCCCACCAGGGAAACTTGTCTGCCCCCCTCCCAGCCCCGGAGCCCTTAAAGGGGCACGGACTGGCTATGCGTCTGGCGGCTCCCGGGAGCCTGCCTGGGGCCACAAGAGGCGGGCACCCTCCTGGTCTAGTGCGGAGATCATGGACCTCATTCACAACCTCCGCACTAGGCACAGGAAAGTGGCTGTCTAGGGCAGGATAGCTGCCAGCCTGGCCACC